TAATACATTGTAGGAACACAGTATTTGTGCTGCAGTATTGATGTCAGTATAAAATAGTTTGCAAATAATACAGCAATGCAGTGTCAGTTGAACTCAAATAATTGAACTGTTCAGCTGAGATACAACAAACCCATATGTTCCTGAGTTAAGCACTTATTTTAGAAACATGCTGTAGTGAAAGGCTTTTCAAACTGTGTGGCTCTTTAACCTTCTGTTACTCATTGGGTCTGATTCTCTTCAGTGACAGACTGGAGTGATTTTACTTATCCTGGTGTAATTCTGGAATGGGAGGACAGTTGTGTCCCCTAACTGTTTCACATCTGTGATCTAATCCTAAACTGCTCACAGACTGAAGCTCAACAATTAGTTTGTACAGATAATGAATTGTAGGAATAGGTCCTTAAATGTCTCTTAGTACATCCAAAGGAGGGAGGAAAGGAGTTTGTAATTCGAAGCAAACATAGCAATGGTCTGACAAATGTATTTACCCAAACTGAGTAAAATGTAAATATCTTTCAATAAAGTAGGGATACACATCTGTAGATATATATGTATTCATTCAAGGCTGAAGTGCAGAAGTTTACTAAAATCACAAATATGCATAATTCCTAGGTTTAAAAACTCATGTGTTGACTAAATATGTCATGACATAATAGTTGGAAACTGAATGTATGGCCCTTAGTCTGATCACTGACAGTGTAAATCTTATCCTCGTCTCTGCCTCAGCATCCTTTTATCCTCTAACCATCTCTAGCCTTCATCCTTTGAATTCTTGTTCTCTGTCCATGCTATACTTCTTTGTTTGGCTTTTTATATCTTCCACTTGCCACTGTCCCCACACTTGTACCCCTCAGTTGTCTTTGACAGCTATGATCTAGGGATGGTGTTGATTTCACGCAGGAGAAGCATAGGAGGAGAAAATACAGAAAACAGTTACAATGCTATTGGGTATTAATAGAATTGAGGGCGAGAAGTGATTTTCTTTTTTAACTGCACTTGGCAATATCTCCTAAATTTTTCATTTTCTTTTGGCTGAATGGGAGGAGCTGCTTTTTTTTTTTTTTGAGTCTTTTAATGCAGCTGTGTCCTCTTGTTTGGTAGTTTCTGAGTTGGTTTTCTTCTTTAAGTTGTTACTATTTTTTTAGTCAGTAAAGTGACCATTGAAAAAATTATTTAATTTGCATCTCTTAACCTGTTTTTGCAATTCAAAATGTGACCCCTTGGAGTGTACTGCTGGGTGATATTTACCCAGCCACTGAGACTGCAGGTCACCGCCACAGTGGACCTGCTGCGCTCCCACCCGAGAGTGTCTGTAGGTTGCTCAAGCAAAACTGGTGTCTCTGACGTGCCAGATACCTGTCTGAGCTGTATAGGTCACTGAAGACAGGGCTTTGGAAGTGTTTTGTGTCGCAGCCACATGTGTTCATTAGCCATTAACCCCTGCAGTGGGTGATGCAGTGGCTGAGGTTTCTGTTCCAGTCCAGGGCTGGGCTGGGGCTTGAGGTAGCAAGAGGTCATGAGCTCCCAGATGATTGCCTGGGATAATAAGTGCTGCTGGATGTAAAGTTTAGTGAATTAGACAGTGGGAAATACATGATGTGAATTTGTTTCTATTGGGAAAAAAAAAAAGTCTCTGTATAAAGATAACAAGTCTGGCTTAAATGCTTACAATCAAACCTGGAGCCAAATGAAACTTGGCTCTTCACTTTCCCCCATCCCTCCACATTGTAGGTGTTTCAGAGGGTCACCAGAAAAGCCCAAGTAGACCTAGATAGAGGAGAGATTCAGAGTTATCTTTGACTTTTATGGACCTTTTTTATTAAAATGCTTAGAGCTGTAAATGTAGAAATAAGAAACTCATTTATCTTGACAAAATTGCTGCCATAAACTATTCAGCGCTCATAAAATAACCTTTTAAATTATTGTTTCTGCTAGTATCGATAAATTCATACAAAGTGCTTAAAGGTCAGGCATTGCCAGAAAAATGTCTTTTCAGCTTGTTAATTAAAGGTTTATAAGAATGTGCACCAGCTTGCTCTTTGGACAAGTTGGAAAAGAGGAAGGAGCAAAAAAGTAAGGCCCACATGGATTAAAATGATGGTGTGGAATTAGTGAGTGACAAGTCTTTGATCCATCAGGCTCACCGTGGCAAGTCTGGAAGGTGAAAATAGGTGGCACTGCTAACAGGAGGAACAAAAGTTTATATCTCTTTATTGATGGGGGAAGTATCTTGATTACTCCCCTCCTGCAGCCCACAGGCTTGAGCTGAGGACCCACCTAGGGCTGAAGTACTAAGGGGAGTGTGAGCAGTGTTTGATCCATCATAGCCTGAGCCATGGGAAGTTTGTCCAGTTCTCATGGCCTAGCCAATGACATCAGATAAGGACCTTTACTTATTTATTTGCCAGACAAATGTTTTTCTCTGCTCATTTATTTACCACTTTTACTGGTACAAAGCAGTGCAAATTGTACCCAGAGCCAAACCATCCAGCCACCCATTCTAGCACCTGCACCTCTTCCACTGCAGAGACCACAACTGTGATTCCCTGTTTTATATGTCACCTCTTTTGCCCATCATCATGGAGACATCCTAGTCTGTCATTAAAATCTCATCCTAAAAATGAGGGGACTCAGATGGGGCTCTCCATGCACAGATGAGATGAAGTTAATCAGTCACATGGATGAGATGCTGGAAGTCTGTCTTGCATTTACACTTGCACAACAGTCTAGTCCTGACAACATTATTTTAACTCTAAATGTAGATTTTTTGTTCACTAAAATGGAGACAATAATACTGACCTAGGCAGAGTACCCTGAGGTAACAGATGAAATGCGTTGCAGGAAAAGTACAGAGGTTTCTGTCATTGAATTCTGCTGATACAACAGGTCCAACTATTTATTGCTGAAGCTGGGAAACAATGACAAAACAATGTAAATAGTGAAAAGTAAAATAGATTCTTAGATATCTCTCTGTCTGAACACACTATAGTGCTGTGATTAATGTGAGTTAAAGGTTTGAATTTTCCCTTGGTCATATGATTTCTATACTGAGATTGTTTCCTTGAATATTAAATAACAGATGCTTACTATAAAACCATTTGTAAACAGGAGGCTGCATCTTTGTCACTGAAAATTTCATAACCTAAGAGTGCCATAATTTGTTTCTGTTCTCTTGAGATCTCTGCAGAACTCTTACTTCAGGAAAATTAATCTGATGAATTTTTTGAGAGTGTAGGTGACAGAACTGGTGCTAGTTCATTTCTCTGATACCTACAGACAATTCATCCTGGCTTTGCCTTCAAGTGAAGCTGAGAGAACAGTGCAGTGCAGCATCATGACATTTCTTGTTTCCTCTCTCATTACCATTCCTTTTGGCTCAAGTGTTTGGTGTTTTGAAACTTAAGCCAGAATTGACCCAATGGTGCACTCAGAGGCTGAGCTGAGCTCCTTCCTTACAGGACAGAGGCATTCTGTTCCAGACAGGGTCAGTTGGTTGAGGTTTCAATTTGTCATTGGTACTTGAAGTAGTACAAGAAAAGAGATTTGTTGCTCAGACATGGAATTTTCGTGCATCTTAACAACTAATAACTGTATCTTACCTAACTTGCAGTGATTAGATTCTTATCTTTATAATCAATTTCTCTCACTGTCAGCATTTTGTATTTTAATAGAATCACAGAATTACTAAGGTTGGAAAAGACCTCTAAGATCATTGAGTGCAACCTTTGACCAAACACCACTTTGCAACCACCATGTATTATGTTGTCCAGTTTGAAAAGCCTTGGAAATACATGTGTGTGTAGGACTAGGGATATCAGAATGTGTGTTTGCAAGGCTGGAGGCAGCAGCTATGCTTTGAGGCACAACCTTGCAGAATGAAGAACTTGTTGTTTTAGCTTTGTGTAGAGAGCATATGTGCAGCCCATGAGAAGTTGTGATGCCCCTGATGTTTCCAGGTGAACCTCAGACTTCACTGCATGCTGAAAGGAATCTCATTTTGGGATTGTGGGAAAATACAGATCATATGTGTGATATACTTTCCATTTCTCTAGCATGGGTTGGAAAGTTAACGTTGGTATTCACCTTACAAAGCAAATATCTGGGCTGAATTAGTTATGGTTCATGCTAATATAAAGCAGGAAGTCTAATAAGTGACAGTGGCAGCAGGTGGTAGCTCAAGTTCTTCTTCTCCCCAGGAGTTCATCACATTGTTCTTCCCAGTGTGTGGGACTGTTACATGGTAGACAGGGCAAAGAAGGAATTCATTCAGATAGTTAATAGTATCCTTCCAAATGCTTTTATTCCATGTGTCACCCTGTAAGGATAACTGTGGTGGAAATATCCCATTCTGTTTCTCAACCTGCTGCCAGTACCTTTACTTCTGCAGGAAAGTATAACTTACTTGTTCTGGTATCCATGGGTGGAAACACTGATCTCCCTGTCCCTCTCCCTCCCTGTCTTTGGCTGCAGATAGAATTTTAATGGAGTATATTTTTCTATGGATAATCCAGGGTACTCATTATCCACGAGTACTCAAGATAAATTGTCTTGCGTCTTTAGAACTGTTCAGCTCTCCTTGTTGTTTAACTTGGGCAAATCTTATGCAAATTTTAATCTTTGCTGAATATATAACATCACACCCCCAAATGTCTCCAAGAGGAGTAGCAGAGTTAAAAATATAAACTCTCTAGAACAAGTTTATTAAAATTATTCTGCCTGAAAATGCTCAGTATTCTTATCAAATACAGGAGACAGAATGAAATAGACTCTTTTACCACTCTGTGCTTGAGGTCTGAGGAGAACATACTGGCACAGACATGGCACAGTTTCACTTTCCTTGAGCCGATCGTATTCTAGTTTCTTTTCTATTGACAAATTTCATTACCAGATTGAGGTAATATTAGCATACTTTATCTTACTGGATGTGATCCAAAACTTTGGTTTCATGCAGAGTTAAATTTAGAGAAATTCTGTTCAATTTATTTTTCTCTCCTTTTCAGCTATTTCTAGCAGTCTGGTAAGTTTTTGTGATCAGTGACTAAGTGTCTCTTGCTGTTGTGATGACAATCATCTACTTGCTTATATTGCCATGTTGTCCCAGCAGCAATAAAGAAATGTTAGATAGAAGTTATAAAACCTTGGCTTAAGAATATTGGCCAGTTAACCAAAATATGAACTTTTGATTGGAAGTTGTGACTGCCTTATCCCTGGAAGTGTTCAAGGCAAGGTTGGATGGGGTTTGGATCAGCCTGGTCTAGTGGAAGGTGTCCCTGCTGATGTCAGGGGTTGAAACTAGATATATTTAAGGTCCCTTCCAACCCAAACCATTCTATGATTTTGTGAATTGTAACCAAGGATGAAGGAATGAAAGAGCTTGAAGAGGAAATGTTAGTTATGTTCTTTAGACCTATGGGCCAGTCTTAAATTTGTAAGCTATCTGTTGATTCTATCCTATCTTAAATAAGCTTTGAATAAATTTGTTATACAACTGAGAGAAGGGTGACCAGTGAAAATAAACATGCATAGTAATAGCTGCTTAGTTGGCTCAAATGGATGTCATCTTAGCTGAATGTTGTTGCAGTGTGCTCTAGTAGCTTTATAGGTAGCTTTCCATTTTAATAATTCAGTATTTACTATTTACTAAGGCACAGCAAACTTCTCTCTGTGACCCTGAAATGTGTCATCTTACCAATGTATGTGTTGAAGTTTCACTGTGGCACATTTCAGATCCCTTTTGAAAACAAGCTAGTGCCTAGGCAACCTTCAGCCTGGCAGCTGGGAAGAGCCAAAGAGCTGGAAGGAGAACTGCTGGGTCGGAGAGATTCTTTGCAAATGTTTTAAGCTCTGTTCACCTGTTTTTCTTCCAACAGACTTTGGGAACTATCACTGCAGTGCCCATTAAGGTTCCTCAGGTCAGCTCCTTGCAGAGGTTGGCAGGACAAGGACCAGCAGTGCTACCTCAGGTACAAAATAGTTTCAAAGGGGGGTTTTGTGTCATTTTGTATGTATTCTACTCTGTTCCTGTCTGGTGCCCAGGCCTGGGTAGGTCAGCACACTCATTTTGCTGAATAAAGACTCACCTTTAGTGAGCTGAATAGCAGAATTGTGTTGTTCTTCAATACATGAAAAAAAATTAAATCCGTTTTCTTCTGGGAGTGTACTGTTATCACAATGAAGAGCTATAAAAATCATGTCTATTCATTGTGGAAGAACTAAGTACATATGGTGGACTGTAAATTTATGGTTTCTAAGATGAATCACAAATCACAGAAGTGAAAATCTGCAATTCTGTAATTTAAAAAAAGCAGTGGAAGTATGAACCTGTCCAATATTTAGCCTAAACCAATATTTTACTGACTTACCTGCCTTATCCTTGTCTATCCCAGTATTAAGTTTGGGCCCAAGTAACCCAGGTTAGTTAGACCGAGGCAAGATTTTCTGGATAAGAGTGAGAGTTACAGTCACAGGTTTTTAAAATATTTTCAAACTGTGTTTTCTTTTCTGAACATCCATCGCTGTTTCTATAACCATGTTCCCCATTTCAACCTTCTTTCTCAACATTTTCGGATGTGCTTTTCAACAAGTGCTTTGCTGTAGTTCTATGCTTTGCTTTTCATATTAATTATTGCTAAGTATAAATATATTTCTCCCTGTGTGGCCCTTTGAGGTCTATTTCTCATATATGAACACTTTCCTAGTGTTTAAGTCAATGTTGTGTGTGTTCTTACTATTGTTCCTTTATATTTTCCTAATATTTTCTTAGTGACAGAATCTAGTGGAAGATCTGTGAGCTAAATCTGGACGAAGGAGTATTTCCAAGATAAAGTTCTTAAATTCTCTCTCTAAATTACATTTTGTGGAAGGCAGAATTGTGAACATAAAGGGAGGTTATAGTTTTCTTATCAAGTTCAAGACTTTGCTTTTCAGTTGTTCTTACAGCATAATAACACTTTGATTTCTGCCATTTTGGGGTGTCAAAGACGAGCAGATTGCTCCTGAAAATAGATGAGGTTCAAGAGCAGCTGAAAGACCTGTAACAGGGGTGTAAATTATCATTAAGGTTATGTCTCAGCAATGATGATGGCATTGCAAATGCTGCACTTAGAGGAGCATCAATGCTTTTGTTAAGTAGAAAAATTTTCATTCAGTGCTAGATTCAATTTTGAAGAATTGGAAAAAGTGGAGGAAGCTGATTTCCTCAACTTTTTGAAAAGAGCACATATCCTTTCTGTCTTGCTGTTTAGCTCATGGCAATATTTTTGTTTGCATCTCACTTTGTTTCACTCCCTTCCTAGTACAGCTTCAATTTCAGGCCTGTTTATGCAATCATACTTAATACTAATGAAACACCAACGCTTCCCCAGCAGCCTTGAGCCATAGTTCACTACATTTTCTATTTAGTGAATATTTCATGTAGATAGTATGGGAAATAACCATGTAGCAATCTCATTTCTGACAAAACTGAAAATGAAGTAGGCAGCTGTATGTTGGGCCATATTATCAGGGGTACATCTTATGTTCTGAATGTTTTCTGGCTTTTTCACAGGCCAATGCCTCATTCTTCAGCAACAGGCCAGTCCTCCTTTGCACTTCATCATGGCCTCTGTGTTCTTCTCCCTCTCCAAGCTTACAGAGAAGTTTAAAATTTCCACATTGTTTCCTAGTGGGGAATTCCCTTTGCCCATCAAAGCTTTCTGCTTGATGTCTTTGGAGAGGTCAGGTTTTCATCTACAAGTGGAAAGTTTGGCTTCTAAGTAAATAGTCAAATGCCTTGAAAATATATTTAATGCAGCCATGGATGAGAGTGACGGAAAGCTGTCATTGCCCACATACAGCTGGATGCAAGTGGCCTGGGGGGCCACTGTAAGTGATCTGCAGCACTGTGTCACTGCTGACCTCTCCTTTGTAAGAACTGTAAGGGGAGTGTGTAGTCATCTCTGCAAACTTTGAGGATCAATAGGAATCTCAGATCCAGGAGAACTGGAAACTTCAGATGGAAACATAAAAATGCCAGGAAGCAAGGCCACGTAATACTATGGTGTTATGGTCAAGAACATCTCTTCCTTCTTCTCCCTCATACCTTTGAGAAAACAAGCACCAAATTATAAATTATTTTGGAAATTACAGGGTGTATATTATCTCCTATCCAGTAGGAGCTGGAAATTGTGCAGAATTAAATCCTGTCACAGTCCATGTCCTCAGCTTTATTGCATCAGATTTGTTTACAGAGCAGTCTGACTACTAACCTCCTTTTGTCCCCCTGGGTGACAGGCAAGGCCCCTGTATCTTGCTCTGAGTTACTGGCACAACCCTGCCATTCTAGGACTGACTTTCTGCAAGGCAAATTCCCATCTCCTAGGCATGCTAACAAGTGGAGTCCAGCTGAGTTTGGTGTCTGCTAAAACCTTTACTTTGAGTGCCTATGTAGCAGCAAATGAAAGGGATTGCTTTTTCAAAACAGAACAATGTTCATCACTCCTCTATGAAGAATCCTGTAGCATTTCACACAAGGTACAAAAGCAGAGCAATGTCCCCACTCTGGCATGTTACCTGCGGCTGAATCTTGTCCTGCAAGGCACTGCACCTTCCCCAACCTCCATCTCTGCCAATTCTTGTTTTAACAGTGAAGCGAGTACAGGCCTAGCAGTGATGAAACCAGAGCAGCAAAGGCTTCATTAAGCCCACCTGTATGCCTGCCTATTTACTCAGGCAGGTGAGTCTAGGTGTAGCTCATATAAGTGCAGGTAGGAGCAATGGCAGTTACCTGAGCTGCCTTAATCTTGTTTGTATGTGCTGCCTCTTTTCATGTCTTCATGTCTGTGGAGAGGTGGAACCCCTGGGTGGATCCCTTTTGGGATTCCTGCCATATTAGGAGTCTGCTTGTCTCTGAATTGTCTTCTGGAAGTGGCTTCACACTTAGCTGGATAGATTGCACTTCTGTTCCAGGTGCATGTCGAGATGTGGGATAAATCCAGGTCAGTGTCTGCATTTTTGACACTACACCAACTGCTCCCTGGCGTTTCTCCTTTTGGCCAGTCTCATCACTTCTTTGAGATTTCAGACTCCCTTTAGATTTAGAGATAATCATGAGAGGCATAAACATTGCCAGGCTGTTTGGACAGAAAAACTGTCCAGGCTGTCTGGAAAGAAAGAGGGGACTCCTCCATTTCAAGGCCCCTCCCCACATCTAAAGGAGTTTTGTGGTTTTGATGCTTTCTTTTTTCTTGGATAGAAAGCCTCTTTGATTTACCTCTATGCAGTCAAGCAAAACCATACCACATAAGTAAACTGAGGCAATTAATAATCCTTGCATAAAATAATTCATACAGCTCCCTCATCTCCCCCATTTGTACTGATACTTGTCATTTGTTTTGTTCATTTGAATGGGTTTATGATATGACCCCCTGGGAGCTCCTCCATATGGGGAATGAAGTTTCAAAATCTGCACATTCACAAATAGCAGCAAAATCCCATCACTTAGTGCAGAACTGCTATTAAATGGTGAGCAAACAAACATTAATTACAAGTTCATTGCACAATACAAACAATATTTCTTTAGGCATTCATTATTTGCCAAAACAAGCCTCTTTGGCAGACCTTTGTTCTTATCTTATTTTTCTTTTTGCAGAACATGAAATTATTTTTGCTTTCATCAAATAACTAAAGTTTCTGCTATGAGCTGTGATGTTTGGGAAGTTATTTCCAGATAGTCTTTCTCTTCTTACTTTGGCCTTTGAGGTTTTCAGCTGGGTGAGATGCTTTGTAACTGCAGGCTCTGCACTGCACTCTGGGAAGGAAATGCTGGAAGTCCCCTAGTCAAACACAGGGTGATGCACTCTGGTACTCCTGAGCTGTTCCTTTGCTTTATGGCACCCATCAGCTCTAAGGAGGGGATGGTCTTCTCTTGGGTTGGGCTCCAATTTCTAGCTGCAGTGCAGACATTCTGTCTGTTTTGAACTGGTTTACATACACATTTAAGTTGCACTGTAACCACCTGAAGGCACGTGGGAAATCTTATTTTCTCTTCTTCAGCTGGAAGATTTTAAATGCAACAGTGACGATATTAAAATAAACCTCCCATTTTGTTGTCAGTAATTTGGGCCCAGTCCAATTCTCATTCAAATTAATGGAGAGACTGTGATGCTCTGAATAGCAGTTAAATCAGATTATAATGCTATTTCCCTGACCTATTTTTGCAGCCCTGGTTGAAGGCAGGGCTTGGGATGGCTTTGCTCATGACACTGCTGATTAGAGCAGAGCAGAGTCACATGGCAGATGCCTGAAGTGGAGCTATCACACAAGTTAGGGGGAAAAGAAACAGCTACACACGTGACTTTAGGTGAAACTTGTGTTTTTCAATCAGTGCCCCCGAAACTTATTCACATGTTCCCATGTTTAATATTTCATGTTATATTTCTCATGAGCACATTTCCACTGGTAGCTGCTGTGTGTACCAAAACTAGCCACTGCTCCTGGCTTCCTTGGGGATAGGGCTTCTGGAAGATTTCTTGGAAAGAAAACAACTCCTATAGACAGAGCTCAAGTTTTGTAATGTCACTGTGTGCTATAGAAGAAATATGTTACCAGGTTGGTCTGTGGCCAAGCCTCTCTCCGTTTGCATCATAAGTTTTAAAAAAATAAAAATCATTATTTTTGAGTGTATTGTGTTAAAACAGCCACAGCTATTGGAAAATGGAAAATTTATTACTAAATATAAGTCAGTATTTTGTGAAACTAGAAAAGAAGCTAGCAGGCATACATGTTTGTGTAAAAAGTTACATAGAATTGTGCAGTGGAGACACAACAGCACATTATTGTTTGTTTGAGTAAAGAATAGTTGAGTTGGGTAAAGTTGTTATTAAAATATCAGAGGGGGAAAAGACTGTAATCCCCTAAGGGATGTTGTGCACCCTTCTGGTATATAACCCTCAGTGCTTCCAGGGGGATGTGTTGGGATGCTGAT